TTTTTTTTTTTTTTTTTTTTTTTTTTTTTTTTTTTTTTTTTTTTTTTTTTTTTTTTTTTTTTTTTTTTTTACCATACCTAGTAAAACACTCGAGTCTTCTACGTAATAGAGTCAATTCAAGTATAGCTTTGTAAATAAAAAATCACTTGTTATCTTAAAGATCGATCCCCTATCATTGAAGTAAGACAACTTTAATTTAAACTAAGGTAACAAAGTAATGCTCTCAAATTATACCAACTTTCGAACATACCTAACTAGCAAATATAATGTAAGATCAACCAAAAAGTTAAACGTTCAAATTTTTATGTTCATATAATATAACTTTTTTTAATGTAAAATAAAGTTAAAATATAACTCGATAAGTATGCCGTGTAAGAGAGAGATGAGAATGACGCACAAATTAGCTGTTGGTTCTTCTCACCATTCCCTTAGCTCCAAGTCTTTTCTGCTTGTTTCAAATTACAAGATAGAAAAAGATTGCCAATAAACTGTCAAATATATAAACCAACAGTTCTTGGGGATCTTCATAATCAATTTAATGCCAGATTCTTAAACAAGCTAAGATAAAATAATAATAACAACAATAATAATAAATAAATAAATGTTTGGGCAATAATTGATTCCCCTGGCACCCACAGTATCTAGGGGTGGAAATTTTTCTCAAGGAATTTCCCAGTCTAAAAGGGGACAAAAAAGAATGAAATTTAAACAGTTTGCATTGCAGCAGATCAATTTATACAATATTCAATCCATATTCCCAATACTAAGTGGGTCCCAATTCAGGGGAGATTGGGACTCTCACTCTACAAAATTTTTGCCCTTTCTTTCTCTCTCTCTCTCTCTCTCTCTCTTCTATTCCAATAATTTCCCCATCCATACCAATCAAAGGCCTTTTTAATGCTTTAATCAATATGGAAGCTGCCCCCGGGATTAAGCATCCCCAGCCCATCTCATAGATACAACTAGAGTTTTTAAGAATGGAGTTCAACTTACCTGTGGTTTCATTCAGCAGGAAGACTTGAGAGAGAGAGAGAGAGATTGAGATGCAACCGTGATGATCATAGGAAGTTCTTCTTCGATCCAAGGCTGGGATGAATGAGAAAGAAATCCCAATAATATGTAGTTGGCAGAGTAATTAGCATTCAATTCTCAGCCTTCTCATTTCAGATCGAAAGACGGGACTGGAAGTCAGTGTTCGACGAGCAAGATTCCGTATATCCTCTCTGGAACAGTCGCGCGATATGCGAATTAACTCCCAAAGTGCACCTCCACTAATCATCTCCTTTGCATTTACTTCTAGAAAATTGGAAATTTAATGGCAGATTAGAACGGGATTTAAGTTTTGATGTAGCAGATTTATGATCATAATGATTATGAGAGGTTTAGAAAGAATGAAGCCTGACTAACCATGTTGTGCTAAATGGCATAAAGCAAGCTCGATATGGCGACGGATTGGTGCCACTTCATTGTTTGCATTTTGTATGATCCAAGGGAGACCTCCATCTTCTATCAAAAGAGATCTGCCGCTGTTCGTCCCTGAGATAAAGAGCAATTAATCTAACTAGCATTGTTCATCAACATTGACAACTATGTCGTTCCAGATGTTAGAAGATTATTGGGAAGGAGTTCCGTATTATTGGTATGAAGCCTTTTAAAGATGCCCAAAGCAAAGTCATGGGAGCTTATGCTCAAAGTGGACAATATCATATCATTGT